CCTTGGGCTGACTGGGCCTCATAACAGGATTGGGCCTTGGTGGCCGGGTTTTCCCATTTGGCATGGGTGGACACGTGGCGTGTCTCAACTGGTCCGTAGAGGACGAATCTGTGACTGACACGTGGCAGGCTCCTATTGGCCCACATGGAGGACACATGGAGAAACCTGGTTGGTCCACTTGTCAGACAGCGATTGGTGGATAAAAATCCCCTAATCAAGGTCTATTATAGTTTTTCCGGTGAGATTTAATTAAATGTGTGCAAAAAAAAATTAGACCCTTAGTTAAAAAAAACTTGGACCCTTTTAGGCAACTAATAAAGAAATTTCTTTTTAAAATATAAAAATAAAACAATCAATTAGAAAAATTGAAAAACTTGGACCTTCTAGTTTTTTTTTTTTTTTTTTTTTTTGTGAATAATCTAGTGTTTTTTTAGTTAAAATAATACCATTTTTCATATTATACTTTTTATTATTAAATATAATCTAACCTTTTTTTTATATAATGTAAGCACACTTTTAAAGTACATATTTAGCTAATTAGTTCTTTAATAATAATTCAAGCTTCTCTCAAAATAATAATAATAATAATAATAATAATAATAATAATTCAAGCTTCATTTTATTGAATATGTAATTTAGAAGAAAATAAATAAGTTTTATTATATTTGACAATTTTGTAAGACTGTTTTTCACTAATCTAATATATATATATATATGTATAAAAATAAAGTAAGCATTTTTCAGGAGTATTCGGCACGCCACATAAGAAAAGGTATTATTTTGACCAATGAAATTTTAGATTAATAATTTATTTTAGAATTAAAAAATTCACTCACCACCTAAAAAAAAGTGACGAATAAGATTTAAGAATTTTGTCACCTAGGTTAAAATAACGAATAGTGAACAATTAAATTTTAAATTATTTAAAAAATAATAATTATCTTTTTTACGTATATGGATGTAAATCTTTGATCGTAAATATCTTTAATCTCTCCCTGACAAATATTATAAAAATTAGATATTAATAATGTACTCATCGAAACGAATAAAATTAAATCTCATATCACTATGTAGAGAGAAATTTAGAAGATTCCCCCTAATTTTTTTAATAGTTAAAAGATTCTAGATAAGACTAATATTTTGAAACATAACGAGTATATAAAAAAACGCATTTGCAAATGACTTATTTTAACAGATAAATAAAATAATTTGTCATTTATTTTTTATTAAAAAAATTAGATTGTCACCTAAGCAAAATTAAACAATAAGATTTGGGATTTTAAATTCAAGTGGCACGTAAAATAAATAAACCTATGAAAGATAACTTTAGTGTTAAAATTTTAAAAAAATTATCTTATGGTATTAGGAATTTTATCCAAATATCTAATGAATGATCTTCATATAAAAAAATCTTAAATTAATACTCCGTAAAAAGATTTACTAGAACCGTGCATCGCATGGACTTATGTCTAGTTAAAGTGTAAAATCATATAACTAATATATAAAGCTAAACTTTTAGCCAGGTCACGAAATAGCGACACTTGGCGTTCTAACTTTTCGCCAAGTGTCACGCCACCTTGGATAAATTTAAATAGATTTTAGGATAGAATTTTAGAATAAGATGGTTAGTTTAGAGTTTTATTTTCGAGAAAATACCAAATAATAAACTTATATTTAGGCCACAAGACAACATCGTATAGCATTTTAACTTTTCGCCAAGTGTCGTACCACGTTGGATAAATATAGATAGACTTTGTAAGAAAATAAAAAGTTAATTTAGAATTCTATTTTCAATCAATATAATTAAATTGATTATAATATAATTTTATCATAAAATTCCATAAACAATCCGGGCATCGCACGGGTACAAAACTAGTTGATATATATACTAATACTAAGAATCAAACTTTTAATAAACTAAGAATTTAATAAATATGAATCTTATTTTATAAACTTAGATTTCAATAGTTACTGCATAACTAACATACCCATTTATTGTGAAAATTTTTGGAGATTTTTATGGCACCCTAATTCTGGAGGATTCGGGTATAACAAAAAATTAAAAATTATTTAGTAAATATTAATGATATTAATATTTTTTATGATAGATTTTTATTTTCATAAATTATTAAATTTACGAAGTATAACTAAAATATTATATCATCTAAAATAAAATCATAATTTTTTTGTCAAAAAAAATAAATTTATCAATGGTTTTTATTTAATAAAAAACTAGATGAAGGGTTTGTTCACATTTACTTGTTTTCAGTTCAGTTCAGCTCCAATTAGTTCGGTTCAGTTCAACTCCTTATTTCCCTCTCTCATTAAATAATCATTTCAGCTCAGTTCAATTTAGTTCAGTTTAGTTCAGCTCCAATCAATTCAGTTCAGTTCAGTAACTGTGAACAGGCTCGAAGCCCGTGCGATGCACAATTTGTTTGAATTTTTAATTTTTTTTTTTTTTTTTTTTTTTGTATTTATGTGCTAAAATTTATTATATATTAAGATAAAATTCCTAATATCAAAAGATAATATTTTATATTTAATTAATTAAAAGAATATCATGGTTTGTTAGTATCTTTTTTTGTAAATATTTTCATATTTATGTGATTAAAATTGTTATTATATTAGTTTTAAAACATTATATAAAATTCTTAATCTAATATTTTGTATTTAATTAATTTAAACTTAAAATCTCATTCGTCAATTTTACTTACGTGGCATTTGAATTATGTAATAGTAAAAGAAATTAATAATCTCTTATTTAATTGGCTACAAATTAAATTTATAATCCTACACGCTAAGAAAATTAAATCCTACGTGGCTCTCTAAAAACACGGGGAAAAACTCCCCTTTATATATATATATATATATATATATATATATATATATATATATATATATATATATATATATATTTATATATATATATATATATACATACATACAGATATATATATATATATATATATATATACATACATATATATATATACATACATATATATATATATACATGTATATATATATATATACATATATATACAGTTATTAGATTTTTGTCAGTATGTAAAAAAAAAAAAAAAAATAGTAATAATTTGACACCAATTTCTTTAATTAATTAAATGCATTAAGGGTCTAAATGTATTAGATTAGGGGTCTAACTTTTTTTACAAGGGTCAAACTTTTTTTTTTTTTATCTTAGGTAAACGGTGAGTTAAACTTAGGTCAACTAAATCACCGAAATTTCTAACCTAGATTCCAAACCCAAAGTTAAAATAAATTGGACCCTAAACAAAATATTTATCAAAAAGTTGGACTCCATTTATCATCTTAACTCTAAATTTACTTAACAAAAGTCTAATGATGTAATGCTTGATTTGTTTGTTTGTCCTATTTTTAGAATATTTTATTTGAAAAGAAACTTGGACCACGATTATTCATCCATATGTAAGATGTGTTCTGAATGTATAGTTTTATAACATTAACTTTTCATAATTCACAAAGTTTTATATGGTTGACCACACTATGTGGTCGGGGTTACTTTTTCCTAATATACATGAACACTCTATCTAGCTAACTGTCGTGTCCGTGTTGGACACCATGTCAAACACCGACACTCATAAGACACACAACGATACATCTCATACCGTATTCTACTATGATATGGGTTGTTTAACTTTTTTTAAAAGAGAAAATTTAAGTAAAGTACGATAAGTAAGGTAATTGCTATATAATATGGGTGCCTTCATATATAGCTCTTTGTAAATATGACACATTATGATCTAGAGAGATGGCGGAATGACAAATATATGGTCAAATTCTTTTTTTTTTTTTTTTTTTGAACATATTATATGAATTTAACATTTTGTACCCGTATCCCTTATTTTGAGATAGACTTTTTCCTATATTCGTTTCGTACCTGTATCCGTGTCAGTATCCATTCTTGTCCAACCTGACTTTTTCGGGGTTTATTTAGTCGGTCATGAGTTACTCGGTCAGTTAGGGGTTACTTTGTTAAGGGTTACTAGATAGGTCATGGGTTATTTAGTCTGGGGTACAGTTACTCGGTCGGTTAGGAGTTACTCGGTCAAGGGTTACCTGATCAGTGTTTTAATATGTGTAAGTCGGCCACACGGTGTGGCCAGCTACGCAGAAAATGCATTATTCATAATTATATATATGCATTTTATATATATGCATTATTCATAATTATACCTCTGTCAAATGTTATGTGCAACTTTGGAATATTTTATAAATCACAAATAATACCCCAAAGTTGCACATAATATTTAACGGAGGTAGTATATATTGTTGTTCAACGGTACGCATGTTAAAAACTATGAACAAGTTCTGTGACAAATACTAAAGAATTGAGGGAATACTATGTCTATATGTACTTCCAAGCTAAACTATCACTCTATCAGTAGCTACACTAATATGTCTAAGTCCTCTCAGGAATCAGGATCTATTCATTTACAGATTTCTGAAATTTGAAATTTTATGATAGTTAGCAACCTAATGAGAGCTTTACCAAGAAAATTCAACATATAGACCGTTCATGAAAATCATTTTTTAAAAAAAAAAAAAAAAGTAATATTTCAATGATATCTATTGTAAGTAATTTCTTATTATATTGAAAAAGGCTACCATTGCAATCAAAACCAGCATTTTACTTTCAATTGTTAGTTGTTTAATGGAAAATTTGTCTGGAAGATTATTAGCTTGTGCCTAAGTAAAAGACTTCGTTTATATCATTTATGTGGTCGAACTGTTAAAAATTTGCTCATAATTTGTGGTCTATACATTACAAATCGGAGTACAAGCATCAAAATATACCAATACAAAAAAGGCTGAAAAGATGAGACGCGAGTATAGAAGAGCCTCCACAACAATCAACATTTTTCAGTACAATACTACATAGCATAAACATCAATGTAAAGTCTCAGCAGAATGAAGTTCTACAGAGACACTGAATTTCCTATACCAAGCAGACAAAAGAAGCAAATTGAGAGCACATACTACATAGCATAAACATCAATGTATGATACACTAATACCTTACATAATGGATCAGTAACCTTAATTAACATATACTCTGAATTAAGCTTTGTTACACCAATGATAAGTCTTGGCAAAGAATAACCTTTCATCAATCACGTCTACTGTGTCTAATTTCATAATGGTCGAAACTATCTGTGAGCACAAAATTTTCAGTTTTTTTACAGCAGATAAATTTTAAGGGCTTTAATTTGCTCTTAAGTCAAAACAAAAATAGGGCTAAAGCTCAAACTTTGAAGAAGCAAATTGACTCATTAGAATAGCCATATCCATTCCTTGTACCATGGTGTGCACGACAACATTGTAGGGGCAATCCTTCGAAAAACCAGCCTTTCCAGATTTCTGCGCTTTCTTGATGCATCTCTTGAACTTTTCATGGCATTTTATATTTGTCATACCTGAAAATTTTGATTACTACTTGTTAGCAATCTTACTAGCCACTATTACACTCATCAAGCCCGCGCATTCCCCTCCCCGACTACGAGTAGTAAAGACATGGGAAAAATAAGATGATACTATAACCAACCCCCTTATTCACCAAATAAGATCACACTGCTTCCCCAAACACCAGTAAAAAGAAGATAAAGGACTAGACTACAACTAGTGTTTTACTAAAGGTGCTAGAATTGAATGGCTAATTTGACTAAAATTATACAACTTGGAGAGCAAATAAACAAGATACTTTAAAAATCACGCACAGTGTTATTGATTTAATTCACATTTCTCATTTCATAGATTTGGAAACACATAATTCAAGTTAATTGACAGAAAACCTCTTCTTTAAATAATCAACAAGATATATAACTTCAAAGATGTTTAGCTGTGCAATGACTTTTTCTTTTTAATAATTGCTAATAGAACATAAACTGATTCAATAACTCTGATAGCTTCTTAATATGAATACAGATGTTAATGGAGGACAAATGAATTCAGATTTCAAGGACAGTATAATTGATTTATTGTTTTTATTTTTGCGTTTCCATTTTTTGTAATGATTGATAATTGGGTTTCCACATCCCCCCATATAGTAAGTTTTACACTTTTACATTTCCTCCTTGCAACATAGAGATAGGATTTCTATGAACACAATAATGACCTTTAGCTGTGGGATACTGGGATTCAATCATTTGAACTTCATTTTGTTCTGTTGATACTCTTGATGGTCATTGTTCTTATCTATATTCATATAAGTATGATGTATCACAAATGCAGTGGATTGATCATGAAGTCATTTCAAAAGATTGTTTTGGCCTCATGTCGACATACATAAAATTACATTCCCCAAAGTCCTACACCATGTCATGACTCTCATGAGATCTAGCGAGAATGTAATAACTGCTTTAAAGTAAAAGTTTGCTACACCAATGCTACTATACTCTCTAGAACTAAGCCAGCTAACAGTCAACACCTAAAAAATTTGCATTTCCTTCATTTCAACACAACTTCAATACAACTCCACTGTCCCTAACGATGTACTCTTAAAGTGTCCCATATTGACCTTTTGCAATATACACTACTCCACAAGTCCACATGTTGCTAACTAAACATAAGAGAAAAGAGTCATGAGAGTTCTTGTTACATGTTATAATTCATTACTGCTTTTCGTGGCCATTCATTCTCACTTGAGGCATGCAGATGTTACCAATTTATCCACTCTTGTATGAGCTTAATTGTCCAATTATATTCATTTCTCAATGGCATAAAGTTAATCTTTTCAATTTTATAATTCTACAAACGTACAGAAATTTTGGATAAGTATAAGATGAACGTACTTCACATTTGTTGATTTAAAAATGGTTCACACCCACAACCACATTTTTAACATATTTAGTCCTTTAACCAAGCATCTATTCCAAAGCGAGAACAAACATCATTTTGCAACCCTACAATTACATTGTTGTTCACTAGTTAAAATGCACAATTTGTCAAAAAAAAAGCACCATGTCACGAGGTCTAGAAAGAAAGTACGCTGCTTTGGAGTAAAATGTATCTACAATGGTATTAACTATCTAGAACTATCTAGTACTCCGTAATTGATCACACACAAAAACTACATTTTCTTCTTTTCATCACACCAACTTCACCCCAAATCTCTATAGTAAAACTACACACCTTAAATAACTCCATCAATTCCTTTTAAAGGGTACTCCCTCCGTCCCTAAATTAGATTCCTACTTCTCTCTATTGTGTGAGGAATAAATTGTAGAAATAGGAATGTAATATAGGAACAGAGGGGGTATATTCTATTCACCCAATTTCATAATTTGAACTTAGCTTAATTATAATTTAAACTAGGTGTCCTCAATTAACCATTATTGAGAAGAAAATCTATTTGTTCTATTCAAATGCTACATCAACTATTTTTTGCCACAATATGGAAATCCACCCAATAAAATAGACCCTAATCACGCCAATTTGATTAAGCAATTACCTTTTAATCATGTAAAATTTCAACAGATAAATCCCACCAAAATCATCCAAACAACAAACTTAATACTACTAATGGCGAAAGAAAATCAAAACATGAAAGAATTACCATGCTTGTCGACACAATCGTCATGAATTTGACAGCAAGCATCAACATCATCGCAAGGCTTTTCTCCTGGACATCCACTATACCCTACTCCGCAGTATTTTCCATACTTTATTCCAACATCTATATTTCAAATTTCCCAATAACAAAATTAGCCCAAAAATAAAAGATTTTGTGGTCAAGATTTTAAAATATAATCAAATTGAGAAGTGGGTTTGATGCATACTATCACAATTCAAAGCAATACATCTTTTGCTACATTGGATCTGCAAAAATAATCGTACCAAAAAAAAAAATAATTGAAATTCTAATTTAAATTATGGAATACGGAATATTTAAGGCTTGTTAACTATGAATAAAAATTAAACATTAATAACACCAATCGACGCGTAATAATGGATGGAAATCTGGGGTACCTTAGAATTGTTAGCGGCGGAATCGGCGGCGACGATGAGAAGAGAGAAAAGGAGGAAGAGAGTGAATGTTTGCTTAGATATGACATTTTCATGGAGTATTTTTTCCCGCATTTTCACGTTTGGCTTAGTTTTCGATACGCCAATAGCCAAGTAAGCCAACGAGTATTGGGTCTGTTTCCAAACCAACTTTGTACAAGACTAGAAGAAGGTGTGAAATTGCAATCCACACTTGGTATTTGGTCAACGGAGTTGTGCTTCTAAGTGGTATTTGGTTTCATTAAATAAAATAGCAATAATTAATAGAGGGGTTGATTTTAGCTTTTATCACACAATTAAAAAAAAAAATAATAATAATTTCACCTTTTCGAATTCTCAAAATAATCCCACCTTTGACCCCCATTTTCTCAAGAAGAGCCTTTTAACCCACAACTTGTTTAACATATTAACCTTTTTTTTTAAAAAAAAAAAAAAATTCAATCTCTCATCTCCCACCTTAGCTACCCACCATAACCACCACCACCCTTCCATGAGCACCACCACATCACCACCTAACCCCACCACCTTCTTTCTCTCTCCTTACCCCGACCACCGCCATCCACCCACAAAACCCCCTTAACACCAACCACCCCAGCCCCCCCGAAGTACCGCCCACAAAATACCACCGCCCACGAACTCCAACCACCACGAATCCCGACCACCCATGAAATCCAAACCACCCCCGAAATGACGATCTCATCCACGAAACCCACCAACCCCGAAATCCTGACCAACCCACGAACCCCGGCCACCACAAACTCCCACCACCCGCGAATCCCGACCACCCACAAAACCCAAACCACCCCCGAAATGCCGATCTTACCCACGAAACCAACCAACCCCGAAGTCCCGACCAACCCACGAAACCCACCAACCCCGAAATCCCGACCAACCTATGAAACCCAAACCACCCACGAACCTCGATCTCCCACAAACCTCGACCACCCACGAAACCCAAACCACCCCAAAATACCGCCGCCCACAAACCCCAATCACCCACAAACTCCGTTCTCACCCACGAAACTGGGAAAGGGAGGTGGCGAAAGGTGGGGTGGTGAAGTGGTGTCTAATGTGGTGGACGGTGGTGGGGAGTTTTTTTTTTTTAATTTGCAAAAATTAAAATTGTACCAATCAGAAGGTGACATGTGGCAAGTCACCTTCTAAAATAAGTTACCAATTTCAAAAACCGGCAAAAAGTTCATTTTGAGAAGATGGGGGTCAAAGGTGGGATTATTTTGGGAATTCGGAAAGGTAGGATTGTTTTGAACAGAAATGACAAAAGGTGGGATTATTAGTTTCCAATTTTCCAAAAAAAAAAATGATTTTAAGAGAGTATGGAGTACTTGATACTCGTAGCACCCAACAACGAATAAGCTTTTAGGAAGTAAATTACCTCTCTAAAGCGGGTCGTAATACTTTAATGCAAAGTAATTTAGAAGGCACTCTGTCCTACAATTGTTCTTCGTCTCTCCTTCCCACTGATGTTGCAAATCTAGATTCCCTCCATAGAAATTTCTTTTTGAGACAACAAAAACTATATAAAAAAAAAATGGTACCCCTCTAATAGCATGGAATAAAGTTTGTAAACCAAAGAACCACGTCGGCATAGGTTTAAGACGAACTCTTCCCTTAAATAAAGCTTTCTTAGCTAAGTAAGGATGGAAGATCCTATCAAGACCCTACTAATCTTTGGGTTAAACTTATAAAAGAGAAATAATTCCATAGCTCCTCATTTTTTTACTATCAATTTCAGCCTAAAGATTCACATTAATGGAAAACCATTCTCGCGTAGAGGGAAATTTTACGCAAAGGCATTCGCTGGAAAATCAGTAAATGGCTAGACAACTGGGTCACAAACAAGAGTCACCTAGAAATCTTGGAGTTACAAGGGCACCAAGTCAACAATAACATAAGGGTTGCAGACTTTATTCTTCCCTATTCACATTGGAATAAATATAAGCTTTGTTCTTTATTATCAAAATATATTGTATAACAAATCATAGGTATCCCTTAACCTAGCTCTTAAATGATTGACACACTGGTATGGGGCCCTTCGCCTTGAGGGAATTTTTCAGTATAGTTGGCTACATGGATAACACATGGTTTAGAGCCAAATGCTGTAAAATGGCCACAACGTTGGATATGGAAACTAGATATCTTGCCTAAACTCCAAATCTTCTTATGGAAAATAATACATAATAGTCTTGAAATTAGAGACGCCTTTATAAAAGAAAGATTATTCCCTTCGATCATTGCACCTTTTGTTCTGTCTATCCGGAATCTCATTGTGATAGCTAGGGCCAAAGAAATTTGGAACCACACTTTAACCAAAGCTGGTTGTCTGGTGCACTTTCACCCACAGACTTAATAACAACGTTATCTATGCTATAAAAAAAATAACTCCTACCTCCAAAAGTTTATCTTCCTTTTATGGAGTAGCCGGAAAGAACATAAGTCTAATATTTTCAAGAATATGACTTTTGACATCCCTATAACCTTCCACAAGCGCAATTTGCGTTCAAAGAGTGGAATTATCACATTCTCATAGATATCTCTTTAAGCTCGGGGTCTCCAATGCAGAGATCCCAAACCCATCATCTTCCTCACCCAAACCACCCCAACACACAATTAGTTTCACGGGGGGCTCCTCCCCTCAACTCTTTCATTCAAACTCAAGTTTGACGGTTCGGTAAAAAATAATTTCAGCACCAGTAGGAGTCATCATTAGAGACAGTGACTGCATACCTATTCAGTGGCGGATCTTGAAACTCTTTTTATCCGGGGCCAAATTTATATAGTATTAATATAAGTATGTAACTATATAAATTCCATAACCAGAATCAAACAAATGACAAAATTACACTAATTGATATAAAACATGACTCAACTTAAATTATTGACATAAAATTGTCCACAATTTTAAATTAATTTGAGAATGGACACTACGGACACCCAATTACAAGAATTTAATAAATATATAAAAAAAAAAGAAGAAGTTAATGATGTTATTAGAATGGAAAAAAGAAGAAGTTAATGATGTTATTAGAATGGTTTTTGACTATCAAATTCGTGTCGTTAATTGTCTTTAGTATATCACTTATATATTAATTCAATGAGTGCTTTTAAGTACTCCCTTCGTTTTTTTATTTGCATTAATTCTCTTTTATGGGTGTTTTTTTTTTTAAATGCATCACTTTTATATTTGGAAACTTTATACTATATTTTATCATTTCTCTCTTACTTCAAATCTCATTAAATTTTTTATCATTTCTCTCTCTTCATGGTCTCCACTTAAATAATAAAAAATATTTATCCCCTCTTAAATATTTTTTCTTTCATGGTTCCCATATTACTTTCACAATAATAATTTATTTACCCACTCACAATAGTATATTACTCTCCTAAAGTTCCGTGCAATCCCAAGTGATGCAAATAAAAAAACAGAGGGAGCACCTATCAAGTTAATGTCAATCTGTTTATGATGAAATTTCATATTAATGGTTATAGTTTGATCTTAGTTCATGAGTGTAAATCTTACGGAGTAGAGTTGTGTAATTAACATTTGTCATACTATAAAAAATGAGAAACACAATGTCACAATATCATTATCTAGCTTGCCAAAGTAAGACTTGTAGACTGTAGGCCTTTTAATAATTAGAAATCATCAATTAAAACTCTAAGAAATTTATATTTTAAATATGCACATTCAAATTGATTTATAAAATACAAAATAATTTTTTATGTCCTTATTAAAGTTTAGTGTTGTCACATATCTTCTATTCTTCTCCTCTTTGATAGCTTAGTTTAAGTTTAGCAAATATTTATGCAAAAAAAAAAATGGTCAACTCAAAATTTTTTCACCTATAAGCCTCACAAAAGGTCCGCCTCTGTACCTATTACAGCACAAGCTTTCAACCTTGGAACTACCAAAGTCTTTGTAGCTAAAGCTTTTGGTCTCCACAAGGGAATCATTCACGCCCTTCGACAAGGAATAGAAAATCTTCAAATTGAGGGGGAAAACCCCTAGTTGTTAGCGTAGTGAATGGTATTTGGTCGACCTCGTGGCAGATTGATCACAACATAGCAACTTTCAAGATCCTACTTCGCGGATTCCCCCATTGGGAAATTTGGCATGTCTTAGAGAAGCAAATAGAGTAGCATATTGGATTGCAAATGTTGGACATCTTGTCACCGATAAAATGAATATTTCTTTATGTACCTTTTTTGCTTTGTACTTAATTCTCATCTCATATGCTTTAGGATTGCCCTCGTGAGGGGGCCCTAATTCTTTTCTTTTTTTATTACATTACAAAAAAAATAATAATTACTATAATTTTTTATAAATCATTCTTAGGCCATGTTCACTTTACCTTACAAAAAAAATTATGTCCTTTATTAAGTAAAAAAATAATTTCAGTTTAGTAAAAAAAAATTCACTTCAATAAAAATAAGTTTAGTTCAATAGAGATAAATTCTATTCAATAAAATTCAATTCTTTTAAAAGAAGAAATATAATAGAAAATTAGTAAAATAATTTCAGTTTAGAAAAAGTAATTTAATTAGATAAAAATAATTTAAGTTGAGCAAAAAGAATTTCAGTTCAACAAAAAATAAGGTGAAGTGACTGAGCATAATTTAAGGTATTTTTATAAGGAATTTTATGTAGTGAAATTGACTATTTTAGAAAAGGCAAAATCTAACGAACGTCCCGGATCCGTTGGATAAGAAAATTAAAAGTAGAAATATTAACTTGAAATATAACATTAATTACACCGATTGATGCGTGATTTGACATGCATTCCTAATACTATTTTTGGATTTATTTAATTGGGTTATCTAATGCTTCAATGGTGTTCGTTAGCAAGATCCTTTTAAAAATTATAGGTACTTAAATTTGTATTAATATGTACTTTCCAAATAGAAATTTTCATACATTTTTAAACTACAAGGATAAAGATATCTATATTATTATTAAAACCCAAGGTAAGGAGTGTTGTAACGCCATGTGTCATTTTTACGTTTTATTGCACTACATCATATTCCAAGATTGCCACATAATCGAAGTGTAATATTTAGTGTTCTTGAAAAACTCTTCATTGGTTTAACCTCCAAGTATTATTGTTAATTGATTGAAAAACTTTTCATATGTATAACCACTACTCTATTTAAATTTATTATTAATAATTGCACAATAATATAATTTGATTGAAAGGTTTTTCATATATGTGTAACCCCCAATTTAAATTCCCCTTGAAATCCTTCGTAATTGCACAATAATATAATTTGTAAGAAATTAATCATTACTCCATTTTTCGTGCATTAATTCATAAAATTGTAGTTATAGAGTACGAGCAATAATTAATACGAAGTAGTATATATTGACATCAAAATTATAAATATTTGATTTATTATTTGTTCTATATTAAGCAAAAAAAAAAAATTATAGTCAAACCAACTAGTTCACACAAACAACTAACTACGTACTTAAGATAACTAACTACGTACTTAAGATCTCATCTTTAAAAACACACACACACACACACACACTATTTGAGCTCTAGGTGTCAAACAAGGCCATATTATAGTTTCATTAAATTACTAAATTTATAATACACCGGGGCATCACCCGGGCCAATAACTAGTTCATTGATAAATATGAAGAGATAGGAAAGGTGTCATGTCACAACACTGCAATGTCATACACAAGACAATCAACCAATAATTCAATCCAACTAACCCAAATTGTCACACAACCATATTACCAAAATAAAACCAGCAACAATACACTAACAAAATTAAACCAGCAATAATAGGAAGAAATAATAGCAAACAACACATACAAATTATACGTGAAAAACCACTTCGATATGAATAATAAAAACCATTGATCGTTTGAGAAGTCCACTCTATGCTTCTCTTATTGATATGGTAGGAAAAGAACTCCAAATCAATCTA